CGAATATACTGTTAGGATCGTGCCAATAGGATTGCGGTGGTAAGTGCACATAGCGGAATGCCACGGGATGCGTCGGGCGTAGGTGAAGCTATTAGCAACGTCACCCCTGAGCCGAAGCCCTAAGATGGATATGGACAGAAGTCCGCGGAGTGGCAGGGACGAGGTAAGAGATAAGTCCAACGGATCGGAGTTCCGCGGACTGGAGAATGAGAGTTAGACTTAGAGTTAGAGAGAGAGAGATTTGGCTGAACCAAGTTGATATTCAAACTGAGTATCTACAGTGTAATTCTAAGGCTTATATACTAGTTAGGAGTCCGATCTAGTTCCTACTCGGAGTGGTCTACATTCTAGGGTTGTCGGAGGATGTATTCTACCGGTCGGTAGCCGATGGGGTCCGATGACATGTTCGCTACCGATGTCAGGCTATTGATAAATTGTAATGGAGAAGTGAAATATAAAATGGAATATGAAATGGAATATGAAATAGAAACTGGGAATTGGAATCCGTAGGATTCCGGGCTGTGGTTTGTTGGGTTGAGTGGAAGTTGGGTTTCCGTCGGCATGCTCGTTACACCCTGTACGAACAATATACCAATTCTTTTGCCACGTTATCAGTTGAAGAGACTAAGAATGAGGAATCGCAAAACGCCTATGGCGTAGGAGGGGATTTCCGCTGTCCTACGCAGTCAGCGATGGACAATGAACCCCTAGGGGCCGGTCCACCTCAGACACCCCCGCTTGACCGAACGGGGGAAACACTGGAGAACCCAGTTAGCGCCTCAGGTCAAGACAAGACGGACACCAGACGTGGTGGTCGTCGCCCCGGCAGGGAGAATTGGCCGACGACTCCGACGGGTGGGCCCTCCCTTCAGGCCATCCCTCCCGTCAGTGGCGGAAAAGCAGCTGAGGCTGGGATCCAAGGGGACCACCTGCATTTAGTAGTGGTCTCGTCCGCAAACGATGTCGACCCCCTCGGTGAGCCGATATGTGTGCGGCTGCCTCGAGTTTCTGAGAGTACCGCCGGCGTTAGGAATGAGGGTGAGTACCGGATCAGTGTGGAGGTTACAACGCCACGTGCAAGCGCCCTTGGCCAGGGCTGAACGCAGGGCAGCGAGCCCTCCTCCACCCACTCGTCGGAAGGTGACCAAATGCCGCCGAGGGGCCTTTTCGACCAGCCCAGTGACCAACTGCCACCTCGAGGCAAGAAACCCCCAGTTTCATTGGAGGAGGTTGAAGACGAAGAAGCATACTTACGGTCGGATATCCCGACCACTACGTGACCAGGGAAGTCTCCTGTGACCCCCGGACCCGAGTTACTGCCCGAAACCAAGAAAGCGGTCGTAGAGACGTACTACGAGCCGTTCGGTACCCACTGGACTCGACGTGCACTGCGACTCACCAAAACCGAGTCCGCTGCATTCGCTACCCTTAACCGCTGGATACACCCCCAGTGAACGGGAGAAGTGACAGTTGAGTTATGGGAGTCGTTAAAAGAACAGCCCGAGACAGCGACGGAGGCGAGAGACAAATGGCAGTGGATGGAGGACCTGAAGAAGCCGCCCATGTATATATGAGGAAGGAAGGGGCGTAATGTATCAATCAAAGTACAGTTGGAAACGCTAGACACTCGTGAGATACATCCCTTGAAGGCGCTCATAGACAGCGGAGCCACCGGCAGTTCGATAGACCGAGCCTGGGCCCAGAGTCACGCCCTCAACCTCAAAACAGTGGCCCGACCCGTCCCGGTCTATAATGCCGACGGCACTCGAAATAAAGGAGGTGACATCACCGAGTATGCTGAAGTACGGTTACGGATAGGAGACCACGTAGAAAGGATCAAACTTGCCGTAGTGGACCTAGGCACCACTCTGTTGTTCTTGGGACACGATTGGCTACAGAGACATAACCCACTAATCGATTGGGACACCGGGGCCGTCACACTAGCCCAGTGCACCTGTCGAAAGGTCCCTTTTGCGCTCCCTGACACGGATCCTTCTTCACAATGGGAAGAGTACAAAGAAGGAGATACTATCCTGGTCATAGACTTTGAAGAAGTGTTTCATGTCCGAGCAATGGGCACTAAAGCCAATGAATTAGCAGCCCAAGCTAATGCCCGGAAAGTTACGAAGTCCTTCGAAGAGATAGTACCCAAAGAGTACAGGGACTTCGAAGATGTTTTCGCAAAGGAGAACTTCGATGAACTACCCCCGTGGAAACCTTGGGACCATGCCATCGAATTAATCCCCAATGCCAATGCCAATCTGGACTGTAAAGTCTACCCCCTTAATCCTACGGAGCAAGAGGAGTTGGACAAATTCCTGGATGAAAACCTTTCCACCAGCCATATACAGGCGTCGAAGTCCCCCATGGCGTCCCCTTTCTTCTTTGTTAAGAAAAAGGACGGGAAACTTCGCCCGGTCCAGGACTATCGTAAACTCAATGAGATGACCATCAAGAATCGATATCCATTACCGCTCATTGGGGAACTGATGGATCGGCTGAAGAAAGCCAAATACTTCACCAAGCTAGACGTGCGGTGGGGGTACAATAATGTTAGGATCAAACAAGGGGACGAATGGAAAGCCACCTTTCGAACTAATCGCGGCCTCTACGAGCCCCTCGTCATGTTCTTTGGACTCACTAACTCCCCCGCCACTTTCCAATGGATGATGAATGACATTTTCAAAGACCTCATAATGGCCGGGGAAGTGTCAGTTTATCTGGACAATATCCTAATCGCGTCTAAAACCAAGGAGGACCATAAATGCATTGTGCGTAAGGTACTCCAAATCCTTCGTGACAATAAGCTATTCCTGAAAGCGGAGAAGTGCGAGTTTGAAGTCGAAGAGACCGAGTACCTAGGCGTCCTCATTAGCGAGGGGAAAATTCGCATGGACCCGGTAAAGATTGCCGGTCTATTAGACTGGCCGACCCCTTCTAAGAAGCAGGAACTACAATCGTTCCTGGGGTTCTGTAATTTTTATCGACAATTCATTCGTGATTATAGCAAGCACGTGAAACCTCTCACCGTTCTTACAGGGAAGGTGGAGTGGCGGTGGGAGGAGGCTCAACAAAAGGCATTCGAAAAGCTAAAAGAGCTGTTCCGCGAGGATGTGGTTCTCACCATTCCGCTCGACGAAGGGAAATTCCGGGTGGAGGCAGACTCTAGTGAGGGAGCAGTGGGAGCGGTACTGTCCCAATGGCAAGAGGAGAAATGGCGACCCATGGCCTTTTTATCCAAGGCCTTATCGGTCACTGAATGGAACTACGAAATTTATGACAAGGAACTCCTTGTGATTATGATCACGCTGGAAGAGTGGCGCCAGTACCTTATGGGTGCACGAGAAAGTTTCAAAATCTGGACGGACCATTCTAACCTCCAATACTTCCGAGAGCCCCAGAAGCTCAATCAGCGCCAAGCTCGATGGGTGACCGAGCTAGCAGAATACCAATTCACCCTGCACCATAAACCTGGGGCTCAGAATCGCAAGGCGGATTTATTGTCGAGACGGGCAGACCATAATCAAGGAAAGGACGACAACAAGGACGTCACAGTGCTGAAACCTGAACATTTCCGAGCTCTTGTCATGCCCACCGAAGAGGAGCTGCACGAAAAGATCAAACTGGCCACTCACGACATGCGCAAGTGGGACAGGGGTATTTCCGACTCCCTTAATCATGAAAAGGGAATCTCCTGGGACCAAGACTTGCTGTGGTACGATGGGCGTATCTACGTTCCCTCCGACAGACGTCTACGAGGGGAGATTTTAGCCCTAAGGCATGATCACGTAACTGCAGGTCACCCAGGGATAGAAAAGACGAAAGAGCTCGTCCTGCGAGACTATTGGTGGCCCTGAATGCGTCGGGAAGTAGAAGCCTACGTAAAGGGGTGTGAGGTCTGTCAACGAACTAAGGCGGATCACCGTCCCAAGAAGGCACCCCTCCATCCTAATGAAGTACCGGATCAACCTTGGACTCACATATCGGTCGACATGATTACCAAACTCCCAAATTCAAAGGGGTTTGACTCCATCCTAGTGATTGTTGACCGGTTCTCCAAGACGATTATACCTATCGCATGCACCGAAGAGCTTACCTCCTTAGGGTTCGCCAAAATCTTGAGGGATCATGTCTACATGCCCTACGGAGTACTACCGGAGAAGGTTATTTCAGATCGAGGCGCTATCTTTGTCTCGAAATTCATGAAGGAGTTTTACAAGCTCGTACAAATCGAGGGTAACCCGTCTATGGCCTACCATCCGCAGACTGACGGACAGACGGAGAGAGTCAATCAGGAAATAGAAAAGTACCTCAAGATGTTCGTTAATCACCGACAAGACGATTGGAGCGACTGGTTACCGCTCGCCGCCTTTACCCACAATAACTGAAAACATTCGGCCACAGGATACTCCCCCTATAAGGTAGTCTTCGGGAGAGACGGGCAGGTAATCAAGACCTCCCAACGACCAGAAGCCGTCCCGGCGGCGTCCAAATTAGTGAAGGGAATTAAAGAAGTTCAAGAGAAAGCGAAGGAGTCCTTGGAACACGCTGCTGAGTCGATGAAAAAGGCATACGATAAGCATAAGGACAAGGCCGTGGAATACGAAGTGGGTGACAAGGTATGGTTGGATTCCACCAACCTGCACCTTCCTCGCCCTACGAAGAAGCTCAGCGATTGACATGTAGGACCCTTCGTGATCCTCGCGAGGAAAGGCGCCTCAGCTTACGAACTCAAACTACCGACTGGCTGGAAAATTCACAACAGGTTCAATGAGTCCCTTCTGACTCCATATCACACCCCCGAGTTCCCTGATCAGCCGCATCCTGAAAGGCCACCGCCGGAACTAATTGAAGAGGAAGAGGAGTATGAGATAGAAGAGATCGTGGGAGAACAAGACAAAGTCATCGGTCGTGGACGAACACGATGAACTATAACCGAATACCTGGTGAAATGGAAGGGATACCCAATAGAGGAAAACTCTTGGGTAAAACGTTCGAATATGGCCAATGCAGAAGAACTCGTTACCGACTACGAGGCCCGAGTTCAGAAAATGGTATGGAAAGTAAACGACAAGGAAAAAACCGTTGGGACTGATGATAAGATACTGCCAAATACCCTCTATCATTATCACGACCCCAACACCCCTTGTGTCACAGATATCATCACAGTACCCTCGTCGCAATGCACAGCAATAGCCCATTCGGAGGAACTAGATGGACTAATCGAGGGGGAAGTCGACGGAATTTCCGCAGACAACGAATACAGCGACGCCGAAGACGAAGTCAATCTTCAAAACCTGGAGCGTATTCATGAAAATTGGAATACCGAGGACAAAGATGATGATGATGATGTACCATCCTTTTATTCTATTTCACACCACTCCTCCTCCAACGAAGACGAATGGGACTCTAACAGCTCATTCGGGACGAACGAGTCTTAGGGAGGGGGTAATGTTATGGT